TCTTCGTGAAAAAGTTTTCTCTTCTTTTTGCCCCAGTAGCCATGCTATACTCTTCTTATTTTCCAGTGTTTGCATAATTGTATCACTAAGTAGGCATATACAGTAACTTTGAGAGGTGCTTAGTCTGGCACTTGCAGAAGAACTTACAAGCTCAGTCTTGCTCCTGAATGCTGGTCATTAATATATGAGGCTGAATCCTCACCCAGTGTAAGGTGGCATAGTTCTGTTGAGGTCAGTAGAGTTATGCTAATTTACACCAGTTTGTAGTGTCTACATTGTTTGTTTTTTTAAAATCTCTGTCACCAAACTTTTTAATAGTGTAGGTTGTGGGATGAAATAACCCCTCCTCCAAATTTCCTTAACTGGGGAAAGAGGCTCCCCTTAAGAGGGTCCCTCTTCCCTCTTGTATCCTTCCATTCAGCCAAGTAGGGCTTTTTTCCTGAAACAATTAGCTTTATAAAACTAGTACTCTAAAAAAAAATAACCAGTTGGCTTCTCTCTTGTTTTTAGGGTGGATCCTCTGGTTCCTCTTCAAGTGGTAGCTCAGGCAGCCAGGTAAGTGCCATAAGTGCCCTTTAGTTGTAATTATGCTCCAAGAAAACTAGTTATAGGGTGTTTAAGTACCCAAAATTATAGAGGAAGAGTTATACCAACTTCAGTGAAACAATATGTCTCTGCCAATAAGTCCAGGAATACCATAGAGTTACTGACTCATGGCAATAGAAATCTTACTGGAACTAAAACTTAACACTTTACTTCATACAATATTTTCTATTTGTGCTTTTCATAATATCTGGAATTATTAAAATTTAAATAATACTAAATAGCTAACTAAACATCATTATTATTCTGGTTGCTTTTATACTGCATTCAACATGGACCGTAAAAATAGAAGTTTCACATGTGTTTCTAATCATTTTCACTTTTCTGTCATTTGCAAAACTCTGAAATTCCCATAATACAATAATATTTCCAACTTTATCTCCAGTGCACTAAATGTAGATTACTTTTATAATTTATTTCATTGCCTATTCCTATTGGCCTTTTTAAACTGTCATTGTAGTTGTATCTGAGTTATTAATCAATTTCTACCTCTAAATAATTTATAGTTTCGTGTGGGTTTTTGGTTTTGACACAATGACATTTGCTTTTAAATTTCCTTACTAAACATGTATTTATATTTCTAGGGTCAAATACTTCTGTTTTATTTATATTGGCTTCAACTGAGTTAAATTAAAGATAAACTTAATGTATTTATTATTATGTTATTTGAGAGCAGTTTTCACTTCATATACTTCATCCCTGTTACTTCCAGTTTGCCTTTTAAAAATAAACTTTATATTTGTATTTATAAATATTTGCATTTATATTTAGTTTTTATGCCTTCTTCTGGACAGGCATTTTTAGAACACCATTATATAGAAAATACTGATTTTCTTAATTTTCAGTTCCAAGCAATAATGTTTCTATTTTATCTCTCTTTTTACCACGCGTATAAACTGAAGTTTGGGTTAACATTAGCATGGCTTGTGCATGGACATTTTCCCTGGATTTTGACGCAGGAAATCTTACTAGCTGACAAAGATACATAAAAAAAATTAAAATGCTACAACCCTTTTTTCTTCCTTTGCCCAAGAAAACATGCTCTCTTGCTTTTCAGCCTCTCTCATCTCTAGTCCTTTGCAGTATGCATAGCCATCTAAGTTGCATGTGAAAAGATTGCTTTTGTATTGATTTTTCTCTTCTCTTGACATTTCTGGGAAATCTAATTATCTTAATCTTGACTCCTGGGCTAGGGCCAGAAATTACACACAAACTGGTATAAGTGATCTGAAACAGGTTCAAATCTGTAACACAACAGAAGTTTGATGCACATAAACTGCTTTCAAAATGGCCAAAACCAGTTTAAGATAAACCTGGATGGATGTAGTATCAGCCTTAACTGATTTAGGTTAAATTGGTTTATTGAACTTCTGTCCCAGATCCCGTTCAGATTCAAGTTAACTCATAGTTCCCCAGCATCCTGGGATGCTTTTCACCTCCCCAGTAAACCCTTCCTTGCATGGTGGGCAAGCTAGTCTTACCCCAATCTGCTCCAGACAAGTAGGGAGGTGTGCTGTAGCGGCCCCCCAGCTCTTGGTCTGGGCCACTAGGCATGTGGCTGCAGTTCTGGAATCAAAAGTGAATGTCGGTTCACTTGCCTGAAGGGAGAGTGTACAATTTCTATAACTATTTGGGTATCTTACCCTTCATAAGACTTCCTCTAGGACTAGGTGACGTGAGCTATTTTTCATTTTCAATATCATTCCAACAAACCAAATTTTTTCCCCAGTAAAATTATACCTTCTGTGTTGTGAGCTTAAAGAGTTACTTACATATCTATTTATTTTTATTTTAAAAGATTCCCTTCAGACTTGAATTGAAGGAAGTGAATTGCTTCAGTGCTATAGGGCAAGAGAATCAAGAAGCACAGTGGAATGCAGGACCTTGTCTTGTCATTCACCCCTAAAAAGATGTTTGTAATGGTAGCTAAGCTTAGAAATTCCTTTTAGAAAATAAATTATTTCTTTGTATTTCTTTACAGACTATATATATTTCCTCACAGACCAGTGGTAGTCATCCCCAAGTAAGTATTCTTTCTTCAAGGTGCTTAAATGTTTTCCCCTCCCACCATGCAACTTTGAGTTGCTGATCAAGTAGAAGATTAGTTCCCTACTTTTGTTGTAAGGTGTTTCTCAAAGGGCTACATCACCAAAGATAAAATTATACTGAAACAGAAGGAGGACTAATGTCTTCCTACAGAGATGGAATTGTTCCACGCAATCATATCACATATATGTACCACAGACATGAAAATGTCCATACATACTTATCCCCAATCTATGTATATACATCTTGCCAGTTAGATAGTGGTTTAGATTCTGGGTCCTGTAAAAGGCAGATGTCTTTTCTTGTGTTTTACCAACCAGTTTTACATGACAATAATTAATTTCTTTTTTCCTTTAGGGTGGAGGAGTTTACCCAGTAAGAGGAGGTGGATGTGGTCCAGTAAGCACTTTTCATATCTTTATATAGTTTAGTCCCAGGGTAAATCTTTTAATTCTGATGTTTATCACTAATGCAATTGGTTGGTAATGTAGCAGCTTTTCTTCTATAGCAAGACATACAGATAGAAATAGAGTAGTCTCAGCAAGACAGACAGCAGGAATGTAGCACAGTTAATTCCTAGAAATGTTGATAAACTCTGGCATAGATTATACTAGTCTGTGTGCTCTGATTCCCTACTGCCTTCAGTATTCAGCTTCCATATCTCTATAACAAGTATGGCCACTTCAGTTTTCATTCCTTGCTGTAAAAGAGACACAGCTGAGTTAAAATCTTAGAAAGATAAATTCAGTTAACTAGAACTTTAGGGTATAGTCCTACAAGGTGCAGTAGAGCTGCACAAAATGTTTTAGGTGAAAAGCTTTCAGCAAAAATAAATGCAATTTGATTAAAACATTTAGGGAATTCAAGTCAATTGTGACTTAACTTTTTGGGGTGGGAGAAGGAGAAATAGGGGCAAGTAGTCCAAAAAAACTAACTTTTAATTTTTGACATTTTCAAAACAATTTTTTTTTTAAATTCAAAATGACTTCATTTCAAAACCTATTTCAATTTTATTTTTTAAAAATCAAGAAAAGACTTCAAAATTAAACAAAGCTTTTCATATCAGGTTGAAAGAAATGTTTTGCTCAACCTAATTTGTTTGTTTGTTTTGCCAGTTTACCCACCAAAAATTTCAAAAAAACCTGAAGTTCTTTGGGTGCAGTTCTTTGGGTGAACTGCAGCTGACCTTTTTCTCCAGTGCTGCAAGCAAACCAAAGTATCAGTTCTTCCTATAGTTCTAGTGCTGACTAACCTCAGTTTCCACTTCACTGTGGGAATTACTGGGAATGCTTAACACTTCACAACGCTGAGCCTGGGAAATGTGGGAACATCTGAAACATTCATTTACTCAATATTTGGAATAAGTAAAATTCATTTCTATGCACATTTTGGGTTAAGTGGAGAAACAAATAAAATTAGTTATCAAAATTTACCTTTGTTTTGAAAGAAGATCATGACTTGCATTATTAATAAAACACACAAGGTTATGGACTCTAAAATACAAGTCACTTAGCATTAATGCATAATGCATCTTAATGTTTTCATTCACTTAAATAATAATGGTAGAGATCAATTAAATTTCCATTTCTGTTTAGTTTCTACTTTGATCTATGTACCTTAGCAGATGATAATGATGTTTGCACTGCAAGTTTTCTGAAAAGTAATTTCAATAAGAACATAAAAAGTGCCACACTGGGTCTGACCAGTGGTCCTTCTAGCTCAGTAGCCTGTCTCTGACAGTGGCAGAAGTGGGTACTAGAGGGAGAGCATTGAATTGGATAGATCTAGAGTGATCTTTCCCTATCCATTATCCTCCCTGGCATCTGCCGTTTTTGGTTTAGAGATGCCAGTGGGAAAATCTCCAACCATTCTGTTCAACAACTATTAATAGACCTATCATCCATGAATTTGTCTAGTCCCTTTTTGAACCTGGCTATTCTGTGTGCCTCCACCACCTCCTCTGGCAATGAATTACACAAGTTAATTATGTGTTGTGTAAAAAAAATACTTTCCCTTGTTACTTTTTAACCTGTCTCCTACTAATTTCAGTAGGTGTCCCCTTGCTCTACTATTCTGGCAGTTGGTGAACAATAGTTCCCTGTTCACCTGGTCCACACTCTTCATGATTTTATAGACCTTGATCATATGCCCCTTAGCCTTCTCCTTTACAAACTGAAGAGTCCTGACATTTTTAGTCTTCTGATATGGCAACTGCTCCATACCACTGATCATTTTGGTTGCCTTTCTCTGTACTTTTTCTGATTCTGCTACATAGTCTTTGAGATGTAGAAACCAAAACTGCCTACAGTTAAAGCATGTATAGTTGAGGTTATTTTCCACAGGTGCATTACCTTTCATTTGTCAACACTGAAGTTCTTCTACAATTTTTCTGCCCATTCAGTTATAAAATCTATCAGAAATAAATCTGTCAGAAATATTTCTGTGACAGTTACGGATTAATTTGTGTGTTTAGGACCAAAATGTGCCTGACTTTGATGTGAATGCAGTGCTGGGAGGAGAATGCAAAGATTTTTTCTATCCTTGTTCACTATAGAGCCTATATAGGGACAAGACACAAGTCAGGTTCTTTGTACTCAGGCTACCTTCCTTAAATAATTAGTAATAAATTTACTGGCTTCTGTTCCTTTACAGGGTGGGGCTGCTGGTGTATATGGAATATATGGCTGTCGAGGGGTAAGTTTAGGGATTTGTTTGGGGTTTTTTTGGTTCTATGTTGTTTTTGTCCCCAGATGTTGATTAACAACTCAGCACTTGGTTGTGAATTGTATTAGACTTGTTGCAGCAGTTATACTACAGGGCTGTGTTATCCTGAATAAATATGTAAAGCTAGCCAATGCCTGGAATGAAATGGTCTCAGCTAACAGTTTTGAAGGATGGTATGCTACTAATCACTAACCAGCCCGCTCTCTCATCCCTTGATTTCTTAGAGCTCTGAAATGTTAACCACCTTTGGTGCCTATACACATGCTTCAACACGTTCTGATTAGAATGCATCAGAGCAGACTTGATTAATCTAACTAGAATGCTCCAGAGTGCTGCAGTGTCTCATGTATTCAGCCTCCCACATTTCAAAATGGCATCTTTTTTAAATGTGGGATGCTGAATACATGTGACACTGGACTGTTTAAATTAGTGTTTTTAAAATGCCCCTGTCGCCCACCCCTGAGCGCATGTATAGCCACCCCTTATGGTTACATTCATGTTTTAATCATAATGTTAGATTCCATTCCCAGCTATACACCCTACATGCCCACTTCCTGCCTACTATCCAAGTACAACCTGCTTTAGATAATCATCTCAGTGTATGTATACCTATTTTTCAGTGTAATCCTTCTTTCCTTTGGGAAGTTCCTTTTGCATAGATGAATAATTTGCACACTAGCATCCACTTATTGCTGTATTGATTTAGTGTTTATTTAAACAATCTAGAAAAAATTTCTATTGTCAACTTTCATTTTTCCTTCTATGTTGTAATTATTCATAAACATTACATCAGTTATTTTCTACTTTAAAACCTCTTGAAACAAGTGGAAAAAAACCACAAGAAAGGTGGCCTATTTTCTTGTGCTGTTGAAAATTAAAGCCCTGAGCGAGGAAAATACTTAAGTACGTGTTTAATGTTAAGCCTGTAGTTAGTTGCAATTAATCTACTTATTTATTGGCCTTCATGCTCAGGCATTTATTTAAGTGTAAATGTATATGAATATATACTTTTAAATGTATTATGTTGTTTTGTAGTCAAACTTACAAATATTGTGAGGTGGTGAAATGCTGGAAAATTTTGATTTCAGTTATCTTGGAGTAAATTCAGATGAGCTTCACATAAATCAGAGGAATTAGCCTGGATTTATTCAGATTTAATTGAAATCAGAATCTAATGTAGGCATTTTCTCTAATCATCCACTCCACAAAACAAAAATTCCAGATAGGGTTCATTTCCTGAAGTGGTATCTTATTGAAACAAATCATCATATAAGGAAGTAATTGATTTTGTCTTTTGTTAACAGGATGGATCTTCATTCAACAGTGGCATTTCCTATGGTCATGTAAGGACACTTTCTTCTTTATATTTAGGTTTCCGACATGTGATGCTATTCAGAAAGTAACAGGTAGCCCCAAATTTTGCCACACTGAGAGAATTCATGGGAAGGCATGAGGTTAAGAGGGTGTGAGAACCCTCAAAGTATTACTAGCATGGAGTACAGCCTGATAAAGGGTATTTAAATCCAAAAGCTTGCTAAGCAGAATTTTTCCAACTGTATGAGTTGGTTTAATAAAATATATCAGATTTACCAAAAGAACCTTGTCTTACTAGCATGGATACATTTCAGCAAATGAGTGCTGTGGCTATGGGGCATTATATGGTTCCATCTTTAAATACCAAATTCCTTTCTTCTTTGTTAAGCCGAGATCTAATATGTATTCTGCAAGTGGTTGCAATAGATATAGATATTTTCTGTTTTGATTATTATTTTCACCAGAAAGACAGTGCTGCCTGTGGTGGTGCTGAGAATTAAAAAGTAACATTTTCATAAAGTGTTTCCTCTAGCTGTTCCATATAGAAAGGTATGCTTGAACTAGTAAGGAGGGCAGTTCCTATAAATGTATTGGAAACTCATAATAACATTTCTGTTCGTATTGGGGATTTCATTACTTCCATCTGGTTCTCCTTCTATGGTATTTTATTGTTCTGTCCTTATTCTCTTCCAGTTTTGATCAAAGGAATTATGATCAATTCTATTTCAATATATTACTTTTATCTTCCATTTCAACTAGTGATTTTGCTGTATCAGAAAATCCACCTTATATCTATTACTTCAACTATTAGAAATTTTCTTTTAACACTAAATTAGTTCTGTGTAAATACAAAAGAATTAATTCTGTTGCGGGAGGTGGGGAAGATTTCTTCTGCTCCCATTTACCTATTATGTGTGTTTTTCACACATTTCATTTTCTTCAAATATTGCTTAGTTCAGCACTTCAGGCCCCTTTATTAGCTTTAAATCACTCCTATAAAGCGGTGCTGAATTAAAGTTGGCAAACGCTTCCTAAGTAAATAAATGGTTCCTATATTCTTTACAGTCTGTCCCTTCAGGCAGCAAAGAAACCTCTGTTAAGGTAAGTGCTTATTCTTTGTTGAATTTATGGAATCAGATCCTTAACAAAGGTACATTAGCACATCTCCTTTAATTTCAGTGGCATTGTACCAGTTTATACAGTTGAGGCACTGGATCAGATTTTTATCCCATATTGTATCGCAGTAACTGAATGCTTAGCTTACTAGTTTTCAAATGTATCGGGCTCAGTGGCTGTGTTATGACAGAATTTTTTATGACTGGATTTTACTGTAAATAGAGTAATATTACAAAGCTTCCGAAGGGCTTTCTAAGACACTGATGGACAGTATACAATTATTGATGTTAATAACAGATAGATTATATCATTATTGTTACAAAGAAAATGATTCATGATTCATTGGTGCAAAGCCAATGAAATCAACAAAATTGTTATTACAGATGAATCTGGCCCTTGGTATTGACCATTAGTAGTCAAAGCACAGGGAGGCTGCAGTGTGAATGGGTTACTATGCTTTGAAAATATTCGTACCCAGGCTATTCGCATCCTTGCTGTCAAATTTATTAGTGATGTCAGACCTCATCAACCACACTTTTGCAAGAAATTTAGTTATCTCAATTTTCTGCTTCTTCCAGAAGTAAGGGGACCTTATTTTTAAAAACAAATGGCCCATTTCTGCCTCTCAATAATTCTTTTCCATATGTGATAAAATCTCAGTAATTACTCCTTCAAAGGAAGTGGACTATTTTCAGTCAAAAACAAACATACATATTTTCCCCAGAAAAATAATGCTATGGAAAAAAACATTGCTCTTCAGTTTATTTTCATTCTCAGGACACTCTCATATAAACTTTTCTATAGAATGAGAATGAATGAAGAGATGCAGAGTGGAGCGTGCATCTTCTTTTGCTTTCCATGCCAAGAAGGCTGTATAAGCCAGTGGGTATATGGGGAGGCATGGTTCTGCCACTGATTCATTATGTTGCCTTGTGCCAAGTCACTTACCTTGTTGTGCTTGAATTCCTCTATGTGTAAAATTGAGATAATAATCCTTACTGTTTTCTGTAGCATATTTTGAAACTAACGTATTAAAATTGAAGTGTTGTAGAATGCTAATAATTATTATTCCCCAAAGCTTGTAAGAACAGAGAGGTTTCTTTTTCTGAAACCATTTAAATAAACCCACTTGTGACAAAATTACTTATCTCTGGTTCTTTAACAGATAACATCCTATGCCGAAAGTGGTCCCTATCCAGCTGAGGTAAGCACAGTATTTCCTCAGCACTTAGAATTTTGCACCAAAGGCCTTCTGAACAACCATTTTGCTTACCTGTTAAGACAGATATACTACTTTAGGGGTGCATGTACACAAGATACTTTACTGTGCAGTACAGCTAATTACTGTATAGTAAGCATCATTGTCTACACATGCTGACCCTTACTGTACAGTAATTTCCTCTACTTGGGGGTTAATTTACTACCTGCAAATGCAAGTAACAAATTAACTGGCAAGTAAGTACTGTACTGTACAGCACATGTAGATGGCTGACCAGGAGCAAATTTGCTTCTGGTCAGCTGGGCAGCAGGGGGTGGGAGATTGCTCCCTGCCCCCAGCCACTACCTGCTACTGGGGCAGGCTCTGCCACCATAGCCCAGGCAGGGACAATGTAACCCTGCCTCAGCATCAAGGAGCTCCCAGCTTCCTGGTCCATGATCATAGAGCAGGGGCTGGAAGCTTGATCCCAGCCCCAGCTCTGCAATTGTGATCTGGAAACGGAGTTAGGAGTTTGCACTGCTTGGGGAAGTCTGCAGGTGCAGCCTGGAGTTGGCTAGGGGCGGTCCCATTTCAGGGACAGTGCAGCATAGGCTGGATCGCACCAGGAACTATCCCAGTCAGGGGCAGGTCCTAGCCCTACAGATTTTTCCCAACCTTGTGCCTCAATTGCAGGCCCCCTGCAGCCCATGGGTTCTAGCCCAGGGGCTGGCAAGGAGCATGGGGCCGGGAGACAGCTGTCTCGTGACAGGGCTGGGAGATTGCTCCTTGCCCCCGGGAGCTATCTGCTGCTGGGGCAGGCTCTATCACCTGAGCCTGGGCAGGGACAATGTCCCCGTGCCCCAGCACAGGGAGCTCCCAGCCCTGGCTCCCCAGTCAGGGGCAAGAGGCTTGGAAAGAGCTGCAGGGGAATGGCAGGTCCCAGCCCCCTGCCCTGATCCACCAGCAGGGGCAGTTAGCAGTGAGCCTCCGGCTGGGCAGGGAATACTCTAGAGTAAACCCACTGGGCACTGTAGAGTAAACCCACTTGTAGACACACCCTAGGTGTTGTGCAGGAAGGGTGAGGAGTTTATATTATTGACACAATTATGCACAGAGAAAGGGCATAGTTAAATAACTAAAGATATATTTGTACTGATATTAAGGGTCTTCATGTATATCACTTATCCAGAGTCATATAAATGATGCCTCACCTTTCATATCATGCCTTGAAGTGCTTAACTAATTTGCTCACATTAAACAGTCCACCTTGTGTTTCTTATGTTCTGAGCATGGCACTATGATATATCTCAAGTTCCAAACAAATGAAGGAGACTGAAGTCCAGGCCATGAAATGTTCTCTTCCTCCTGCAATTAGCTTATATGCAATGAGAGGACTCTCATAGACCCAAATGGGCATTGGATCAGCCCTTATGTCCTCTAATAGTAGGATATGGGCTTCTATATTTCTAGTTGCCATTCAAATTAACATAATGTTTTTTCATTTGGAAAAAATAATTGGCAAGATTTTTAGTGTGTATCCAAGACTACCTGGAAAGGCATCCAGAATACTTTAGTTTTCAAAATACCAACTTAAACCATTTCGCAGTGTAGGGTGGTGTAGTGAAGAGAGATAAAATGTGATATGCTCACTGTCTTGGTGTATCCATCCATCCAAAAGGTATGTTTCTTTTACTGAAACTATTTTCTATCTAAATAAGTCATTGTACTATATAATCAAAACTTTCTGGTTTCATTTACAGCGTCAGACCTACCCACAGGTAAACACACTTTCACTTTTATATTTTGTCCTAACAGTATTGCCATTGTGAGGACAAATATTGTGCTTGCTTTTCCTCACCTTACCCTCTTGCTCCAGCTGTGATAGGCAGTCCCTGATTATAGCAGAACTAGTGTGAGAGTGATTTGCCTGAAAGTGGAATAGGTTTCAATGCCATCTAAAAGTGTTATGGAACTGCAACTGAAAATCGCACTGGGTACAATGTTCTCTAGTCAGCTTGTCCCATTATGTAGATATGCAGTAAAGGAAAGGGTGCCAGAAAGCCCCTCGCTAATCTTGTATTATTCACATCAAGGCAAGGCAGAGCTCTGTGTTGTGCAGGATCTGCTCTGCCCTTATAGTTGGTGTAGATGCAGGGTGCCAGAAAGCAGGTGAGGAGAGGTTGTGGCTGGAAAGAGGTGGCACCCTGGCTGTAGCTCACTATGTTCTGGCAAGTAGGGGTGGCTGGGAGTAATAAGCTGAGCCCCAAAAATCAGCTTCTCTGCATTAAGCTGGGATCAGCTGGTTCCAGGCAGTCTGCTTCCCCTCCCCTGTTGAGAATGTCAGCCACAGCTGAACAACCAGTCCACCACTATATCCAATATATTTTTACTTTTAAGGTATCCCTCACAAAAGCTTTTTCCCAACATTGGGTGCTAAAAGTAGCACAGAGCGCATACCAACCCCTCCTTTACTCTCCCAAACAAGGAAATACCCATTGGTCCTTTCCTCCAAATGCCATAAATGGAGCACACTGAATGATTTTTTATTTTACAGAGCTTGAGCGGTTCTGGATACCAAGTCTATGTCCAGGTAAGTTCTCTTTCTTCACTGTATTAGTGTTTTTATACCATCACCGGTGTCAGTGAATGTTTATTCATCACAATGGTAATAGCTGAGTGTGTTTTCCCTGAAAAAATAGATGGTGTGTAAAGAGCTAGGAGTTGTCTGTGGTTGTATGACACTAGTCTCTGCTTTCTGGTAAATAATATGAAATCATGCAGTTATGTTCAGTAACCATAAACATGAAAATCTCTGCATCCCTGTTCTTTAGTGTCCTCAACATGCTTTCTACCATTTAGGCCTGCTTCTGCTAACAGAACCGGTAAAGCTCTGTTAGTCTAACTTATAGCAGCTGATGATTTGGCCTTTAGTGCTACACAGTGGGTGCATCTAGATGAGACATTTACTGTAGAGTTGATTAATTAGCTCCACAGTAAGATGTCAGCATCTACATATGGGATGTTATTAGGCCAGAGTAAACTAATGTACTCCGCCACAGGATAATACTTGTATATACGTGTACTATCTGCAGCAGAGGAAACTGCTCCACTGCAGCACATGGGTAGACAGGGACCAGGCTGGCTGGGGCAGAAGGGTGCTTCAGTGAAGGACTGCCTGCTGGCTAGTCCCACACTGGAGCACTCTCATGCCCAAGCTAGCCCTTCCGCAGCATGTTGAGCTGGGTCAGAGCAGCTCTGGGCTGGCAGGCTGACCCCCTGTGCCCTCTGCCAGCCAGGGCTGCTCCAACCTGGTTCAACAAGCTGTAGTCCTGGGCACACATGTAAAGACAGCGCTCTTGGGAGCAATAAACTCCAGGGCGATATGTGCCAGAGATTATTGCTTTGCACTAATAGCATGTGTAGACGCATCCAGTGGCCGTGGCCGCACATTTGCTTAACTGCAGAGTAAACTAATTAGCTGTGGAGTAAACTAATTAGTAAGTAAAGCATATGTGTAATGATATTAGGCCACAGTAAACTAATAAATACTGCAGTAAAATAGTACTACTGGGGACAGTGCTATCTTACACTGTGGTAACTTACTGCAATTAAATATATGTATAGATGCTAACTGTGGGTGTAAATTGCCCACAGTCAACTGATCCAACTCAGGGCCAGACTCCTGCCTGCCACCTGGCCACATGGCTCTGCACTTTCAGCACCCTTGTGCTCCAGCCAGCCCCTCCACTGCCCAACAATGCCACTGGAAGCCTGGGTCTGAGCAGACCTGGCATATACTGCTCCAACCCAGGTCAAATTGCTGGTGTCCCAGGCGCATGTGTAGACACTGTTTCTGGGACTGGTTTACTCCAGCTCAAACTACGCTGCAGTTTATTGCTCAGAATTAATGGAACATGTAGATGCACCCACTATTTAGAAGATTTTTCAGATGACAAGTCAAGTGTGTGTGTTGATTTGAGTAGGTGCTGAAACAATGGGATTTTAGAAGAAAGTGTGCCCCTAGTGCTTTTTACTAGGGCTGTGCAAAGCTTTGGTTGCTGATTCAGTTCAGTGGAGATTTAGCCGGATTCAGTGGCCGAATCTCCAAATTGAATCAGGAGACCCTTTAATCTCTCCAAATTGAAACCCTCCAGATTGATTCACAGAGATTTGGAAAGATTCGACAATTCGACCATAGACACAGCTTTAAATGTTTTTTCTACGTACCTCAAGGTACAAGGCAGCTTGTGAATGCTGTGATGGTGGGGTGGATCGAGCGTGCCACAGGAGCACAGTGGGGTCCCCAGTGCACTCAGCAGCAGACCCAGAAGTGGACCAGAAGCACTTCCTGTCCACTTCTGGGTCCACTGGGGAGCACTCTGGGGGACCTCCCCACACCCCTCTGGCTCGGCAACTGATGCCTTCTAGTTCTGGGGGGGCACCCGGGGTCCCCCCATGGCTGACTGCTAAGCCAGGGGAGTGCAGGGGGCCCCCCCGTACACTCAGCGGCGGACCCGGAAGTGAACCAGAAGTACTTCCAGCCCACTTCCAGGTTTGCCACCAAGCACACAGGGGGCGCCCCTGTACTCCTTGGGTCGCTCCGTCTGCCCCACCATCGCAGCATTCATGAGCCACACCTGGTACCTCGAAGTATGTAGAAAAAACATTTAAAGCTGTGTCTATGGCCAAATCGCTGATTCTCTGAATCAGCATCAAATCTTCAGATTCGGATTTGGCCAAATCGAATCAGGGGCAATGATCCAATCAATCAACGAATCGAATCACTGTCCCTGATTCAGGCTGAATCCAAATCGAATAGGGCCCGTTTCGCACACTTTTTACCCACTGTATTGCCACCCAGAGCAGTGTTAGAACACAACAGTTTCTTTCCTTGAAACAGCATAGTAGTCATGCCATCCCCAATTGAAGTAACAGGTTCCTGGATTTTTTGTTTCTCTGGGGTGGACAAAGTTACCAAGGTGGCAGCATTTCCTATGGTCAGGTAAACTATTTTTATACCCAGTAGGTACTTTCTCCTTCACTTCAGTAGGCTCAGAGATGATGGAACTAGTTTTTTTGGAGTGGGGGAGGAGGTGGAACTCCCCCATATTTTTTTTTCTCCAATTGTTGTGCCTCCCAGGATAGCTTTAGAAGGCAATGTTTTCTGTTCTTGAAACAGCATAGTAGTCGGGTAGTCACCAATAAACAAAGAAGTAATGGTTTTCTCTTTTTTTATAGGGTGGAAACAGTGGTTCTTATAATCCGGTAAGCTATTTTGTACCCAACAGAAGCTTTGCCATTGATTTCAGTAGGTGCAGAAACAGTGAAATTTAAAAAAAAAAATTTCCCCAAATAGTTTTTATTTGTTGTGGTGCCTCCCAGAACAGTGTTAGAAAGCAATTGCTTCTGTTCATGAAACAACATAGCAGTCAAGCCATTCAAGATTTAAAAAAAAAAGAAATAACAGCTTTCAGTTTTGTGTAATGGACAAAGTTACTTAGGCAGCAGTGATTCTTAAGGTCCACATATATGCCTAATATTGGCTTTGCTATTGACCCCGGTGGAAGCAAAGGCAGTATAATTTTGGAACAGATTATGCCCCCAGATTTTGTATCCATTGTTTAATTCCACAGTGCAAGTGCCAGAGATCTTTACATAGGGATTTTCAACCTTTTTTAATAAGTATACCCCAGCGGCCCCCTTTTTAATAACTGTATCCCCGGGGGAGCGTGGTAAGCAGCAGCAGCAGCACAGCATCTGTGTGGCCCAGCTCTCACCCCACCCCAACCCTGCTCCTGTGAGGCAGCAGCGCAGGGTGGCGACACTGCATCCCCACCCCCATGTGCCACTACAACATTTCAAAGTGCCCCCAGGGGTACACGTACCCCCAGTTGACAACCCCTGCTCTAGAGTCATTTATCATTCCCCTTCCTTAAAATCACCATCTTTATTTCCCCCTAATGGATTCCTCTAAAATTTGTGGGGACCATTGGGAGGCCATTTAACAAGTATATTACTTTCTAGTGTGGACACAGGCTTTGTGGGGTCTTCTTCCTCCTATGACCATTCCCACACATAGGCAAATAGCGGTAGAGGTCCTTTATGCAAACACTACAATATTCAATATATAAATTCCCTTTCAAGGAAATAAATGTTTTCTTTACAGGGTTCATCTTTTGGTTTTCATGCTGAGTGCAGTGTTAGAATGCATGGGGTTCTTTTCTAGAAACAATGCTGTAGTGACACAATTGTTATGGAAAAAGAAAGTAGTAGTAACCTGTTTCTTGTTTTTTCACAGAACAGACAATGTTCCTCAGGTGGCAGCAGTACCTATAAATCTTTATGCCTGATATGGGCTTTGCTATTGATTTCAGTAGGGTAGAAGCAGTGGAATTTTCAAACACATTGTGTCCTCCTCTCCCCTTGGCTTTTATCCATTACGGTGCCCCAAAGTACAGTGTTAGAAGGCAATTGTTTCATTTCTTAACACAGTACAAATAGGCAAACAATCTCCAACAAAAAAGAAGTAACTTTTTTTCTTTTATACAGGTTAGACAAGAATCCCCCAGTGTCAGCATTACTTACGGGAAGGTAAACTTTCTTTGTACCCAATGTGGGTTTTGCTATTGATATCAGAAGCAGTGGAATTTTGAAATAAATTGTGCCCCCAATTTTGGGGGTTTTGGGGTTTGTTTGGTTTTTCTACCCGTTGTGGTACCTTCCAGACCAGTGTTAAGAGACATTTTCCTTCTTGGAACAGTGTAAGTCATGCTGTTTTTAATGCAAAAGAATTAATAGGTTCCTGTTTCTTTACAGGGTGGACAGACTTACCCAGACAGCAGTGGTTCTTATGGTCAGGTAAGCTATTTTTGTACCATATACAGGCTTTGCCATTGATTTCAGTAGGTGCTGAAACAGTGGAATTTCAGAACGTAGTGTGCCCCCTAGTGCGTTTTACCCACTCTGTTCCCACCCAGAGCAGTGTTAGAACACAATACTTTATTTCCTTGAAACAGCATAGTAGTCATGCCATCCCCAACTGAAGTAACAGGTTCCTGGATTTTTGTTTCTCTTTTGGCTTTTATCCATTATGGTGGTGCAAAGTACGGTTAAGGAAATTGTTTCATTTCTTAAGACAGCACAGCAGGCAAATAATCTCCAGCAAAAACCATCTTCCCAAAGTGGCTAGCTTTCTTTACCACAGTGTAGCAGTTGCTATGACCAGGTAAATACTGTTCAATCAAACAGAGTTGTCTGACTGAAAATATTACCTTTCTCAGATATGGTTGGGGGAGGGGAGATGAGACAATGACAAATAAAATTGTCTGTACCTGAATTATGTGTGTAAGTAAATAACACAAATTTCCAGAGATTTAATTGCCAGGTTTATAATTTGTAACTGGAATTTAATTTTTTTTAATAGAGCAATAGAAATTTGCTTCTCTGCTTCATTTTGAAAGATCACCTTCATGTTCAAACTTTCCTTAGCCTAGGATGACTGTGGAGAGAGAGAACATGAAGAACTGCTACCTTCAAACAAAGCTTTTATAGTTAATTTTTGGGCCTGAAAATGGAAATAAGTCATTGGATTTTCTTTTTTCCCCAGCAGGGAGGGTCTTCCTCAAGTGGTAGCAGTGGGTGTGGAAAGGTAAGAACTTTCCTTCTAGTATATTTGAAAATTCCTCCCAATTTCCTACTTTTTGAAAAGAACAGTTTGCTATGAACTGCATAATGACCAGTAACTGAAGTACTTTTTTTTTCCATTAGCATGGACAGAATTGTATAGTGGAGAGAACCAGATGTTTGCTATTACACTAAAAGACATTATACTAGTAAGAGGAAAAGAAATGGCCCATTCCTGTGAGAATGGTCAATATGCATGTAACTTCAAGATCCCTGAAATCTGTTTCTCTCTGACTCCAAACCCTATAACAAATACTTTTTTTTATTATTAAATGTTAACTCATTTAGCACAACTACAGTTAGAGAGAGTCTTATAAACCAATGCCTAAAGGATGAAAGATTAAGCAGTAGTTTAATTCTTCACTTGAATTTCACTCTCCTTTGAAAGCACATAAGATCCAGGGATTCTGTCATTTAATGGCAAAAGTCTGGATATGAAAGAAAGAAAAGGGACTCAAGGATGAAGCTAAACTAGGGTGAAGTAGCTATAGTGAAGTCAGTAATGAGGAAAAAAGAGGAGATACAAGAAACTTCAGAAAGAAAAATAACTTGTTTGGAAGAAATTTTTTTCATTTCTTTTTTTTTTACAGGGTGCTCCATATGACAGCAGTTCCTGTTATGAGGTAAACAACCTTTTCTGGCAGTACTAAGATCTCTCTCAAATTGGGTCTTTGTAATGGAACACATTTGGTATGTCTATGTTGCATCCCTGTTGCCTTGGGGAAAAGTTATAGGCATGTCCATTTTTGCCCGTTGTGTTCTGTTCTACATGCTATAACACAATGCTGCAATCAAAACTATTGACTTGATTCTCAAATAATTTGTGCAGGTTTCATGAAGTTTTCTGTTGTTGCAAAATTTTGTTTGAAGAATTCCACATGCATTATTGCATACCTCCTTTCAGTGATATCAACTCAGATTAACTAAAGCACCTAAACTACTTTGGAACCGAAGTCCTTTTGACTTTCAGAGAGGCAAAGGGGCTTTCAAAATTTTACTCCAGCTTAATTAGCAGCCTCTCTTTAACCTAATTACATTGTGGCTCCAGATCAGTCTGTCTCACCCTCAAAAGTGGCTCAGAAGGAGGAATATGCCTGAGGATTTCCTTTCCTTCCCCACTAAGGACCTTCTCCCCCCACACCAACATTGTCTCTTTGGAATAGCAAGGTTTACCCTCTTCAGTCCTAACCTGTAACTTCAGCAGTGATCCTAGCCCCCAGAGAGCACGCTGGCTTCTTGGCAGTGTGGCCACACTGAAGCCATAATAAAAGTAATTTAGTGTTTGAAATGAATTGTAAAATGTGAGCTGTATATTTCAAGCTCACAACAAGGTCCTTCACTGTGATGCTTCAGTAACAGCTGCTCAGCAGCAGAGAATTGAAAGAAAAGTGAACAAACAATAGGACATTAGTGGTGGCAGAAATTTCCAGGGACCCCATCAGTTCCCCCAATACCTCTTTACTACTTGCATTCTATGAAACCTTTCCATAGTACAAGGGGGCAGAGTGGAGGGAACAAAATGGAGAAAGCATACTCTTTATCTCCTTCATACCCCTTGTGCATACCCCATATCTACATGCACATTTTGCAGGGAAATAACTGATTTATGGTTTCTTCACAGAGTCAGTCCACTTCCTCACAGGACTCTTCTAGCCAGGTAAAATTTCATTCTCCTGAGGAATGTATTTGTTTTTAGTCTTGATTCTAAACAACTCATTGCTGTGCACTTGATTGTGCCTCCCTTTCTCATACTGAGGTAGCACCTTACCCTACAAGTGATACCACTGAAATCAAGAAAACCATTCATGCAATCAGGTGCTACTTCTTGTGAGTATCAGAATGTGTCCCTTTGCTATCAACTGAATAACTCCTCAAGTGTAAGGAAGCATCTAAGGGAAGAGACAAAATCTCTTGGCATACAAGAAACACAAGAATGCTTTAAATAAGGAGACAGGCAAAACTGTAGTGATATCAAAGGGTGATGGTATAAGCTTTTTTGATGCAACTGTTGTTTCTGCATGATTGTGTAGTATTATAAGTGTAACAAAACTGCTCTGATTTTAACCTTGCTTCACTCAAGGTCAAAATTAGAGCAATTTAGCTAATATGCATTGCTACAGGATCATATAAACCTAATAGTTAGATCTTAACAGCTGCTGAACACTCCTAAGCAAGAGTTCCCCCTACCCTTTTAAAGCAACTGAAAAGTAGGTTTGTTTATTCCCTAAAAAACTAAGAAATAAGCCACCAGCAGGTATGAGACACAGTGGAATTCAGAGGAAAGCTGAAATGAGGGCCATGGGAAATGCTTAAAAATCAAGATGGTGAGGAGGGCAGAAATCTCCAGGAAATTACAAAGGAAATACACAAGAAAAGATAAGAAATGCTGTTCAAGTAGATGACAAAGAAGCTCATAGATTATTCAGGAGAATGAGAGGGACCATCCAATTGACTTGTATTTTTAGATTGCCAAATATAATATAAAATCTTTCCTTTATGTAAATTGATAGAAAGGGAAAGACTGAAGTGTGCATCCTCTTGCAGTTCTCCACAGCAATAAGGGAAATGCAGATATATACCTTTCCTGGAAACACAGGTCTTGTAAAAGTGTCTGTTGAAGTACAACAAATGAACTCATTTCTGGTTTCTTTGCAGGATCAGTTATCACAAAGTAGTGGGATTAGTTACTAAGTAAGGACATTTTTCACAGAGAACATCTTTCTATGAGTTGGCCAAATCCTCTACAATTCATTGCATTATTGTTTCTAATAATCAACATGAAGTTAGAGCCAGAATAGAGATTAGTGATAAATATTTCACAGAAGGAAATGAGTTTTGAGAAACATTTAACTGAGGAAAAATGAATATTTCAACAAGTGGGAAGTAGGAACTTATTATGAGCACAGGGATGACTTTCAAAATAAGTGAATTAGTAATAACATTGTAGAATAAGTGATGGGATAAGAAATTGCCTATGAATCAAGTTTAGACAGGAAAGAGGAGGAGATAACCTAGAAAGCACCATAAATGGCAAGAAAGATGAAAGAGAACAGGAAGGTTTCTTTATCTTTAGCTTCTGTGGCTAAGCTGATGATGAAGAGGTCCATAGCTTTCTGGTTTCTTTACAGGGTCGCTCCTCTTACTCACCAGGTTCTACTAGCCAGATAAGAGCCTTGTCTCAGAATATTTTTTTCACACCTTGATATGAATGCCACACTGTATTCAGTGGGACATCATGAACAGAATACTTGAATGAGAAATGTACTCTTTTTCTGAATTTATCTAATTCCCTTTACTTTTTAAATCACCCAGTATTTAATTATTCCATATTAAGCACTAGTGGAATGGAAAGAGAGTACCTGTATAGTCTTTTAGTCCTTAGATTCTTAGAGTTCTATGTGTTTTCCTAAAACTTCATAGGATTTATGTAAGTACATTTGAAAAGAATTAAATGTGTTAAGATTTTTTTGTGTTGTTTTTTTTCCAGAGTGGTTCATCCTCTTCCCAAGGTAGCAGTGGCTGTCAAAATGTAGGTTCTTTTTCTCCACTTCCTTTAGAAATATCTCACGATTTGCTACTTAGTAACAGAATACTTTGATGTAAATTAGAATCAGCCCATTTGGGAGCTTAATTTGAAGAATTGTGTTTTTCTGTTCATGAAATTATACAATTTAAAAAATTGGAGGGTGAATTAAATTACTAGCTATTTATCCTAAGTACAATAGTCTTATCCAAAGACCACAGGAATGATAGGTACCAGTATTTTCTGTACAGAGCTTGGGAGGAAGAGAGCGTAATCATCTTCTCAGATGAACAGTTCTATCCTAGCATTCTGCCTAGAGTGGTGTACTCACATCCTGTATTTAGAAGGTGTAGTGGTCATTGGGTTTTATACATACACTGAACAAAAATAACTAACCAAACACTTTAATTAAAGAGCAAAAGGCAACCTCTGCAGACCCTTGGTCTGTCTTTCACTCAGATTCAGGGGCCATCTCCCAATTCTCAACCTTTGTAATCTTCTAAATAAGAGAGTTTCTCTAAATTATAATGCCTATCACTACATAGAGGGGCTGAGTCTAAGTGCTCAGCTACATAGCTATGATTAAGTAGGTTAGCACCTCAGAGTGCTAAGATGTTAAAATAGAGTTTCCACCCTCCTCAGGCCATTTATTTTCACTGAGGATATGGACAAATGTCCAGTTTAGGTACAGTAAAAGGGAGGAAGAGATGCTGCTGGGGAGCATGTAGTAACTATTATAATCAAAATGCTACATCTACATAGGCTTTTAGGGATACAAGTGAGGTAAATTGCCCTAACTTTGACCCTGGATGAAATCAAGTTTAAAGTTGACATGGTTTTGCAAGTTGCACAGTAACAGTTTCCTTTGATAGCAATATAATTATTGCATCTGTTTGTGCCCTGAGCCAATATGAATAAGCTGATGTCTTTTCTTGTAATATGACTGCAGGTTATTTTGTAGGAAAATTAACTTCTTGGGGGTTTTTTTCCAGGATGGAAATTCTGACTCAGACAGCAGCAACCGCTGTCCCCAGGTAATGATCCCATTCTCATTATTTTTATCCCACTGTGTCTCTTAGCACTGAAACATTTCCTCAGAAGTCATGTTGTATCAATGAGTTCACAGAGAAACATTTTTATGAGTCAAATTATTTTTATGAAGTTATGTAGAATATTAGAAGAATCATGTTTTTATAACCTATTATACAGAGCTACTAATAGGGAATGCCCTCAGCCAGTTAGTGCATTCTACATAGTTAATAACTCACTATGTGCAGTGATAAAATACAAGGTCTGATCCTGTAATAAATGGAGTTGTGGCATTGTCTCTAACGGCAGCAGGCACAGAAGATTCAAATCTATTTCTCTGATTAGTTATGGGCATCAGCAATCTGATAAACATGATAATTTTACTATATCTGTAGCTTAACACTTGTGTCTAATCCAATTCATTTGCAGTTTTCTTACCATACAAAACTATTTTTTTCCTACGCCTGGAGGAAATATTTGAATTTTGTATCTTAAAAATCTGATAAAACAATAAGTTTCATGATCTAATAAATAAATGTGACCCAGGACAGGACCCAAGTAGAAGCAGTTATACATTATAATGGCATTCTCAGGACATATTTCTCTTTTAGCTGAGATTTCCTACTAAGGAATGAATATATTGGATCCTTTGTATGTGGCCATTTCTTAAAATCCCCATCCTTAAACCTTACATAATTAATAATTCATGTCTGTTAACTATCTTAACGGCACATGAGGACCTGTGCAGTGTTCCATTGTTAATACCATCCATGTAAGATGGATTTTCCCTGGAAAAAAATTATACTTTTCTTTAGAGACTGTTCCAATCAGAACATACAATGTTCATCATTTAAAAATGAGCATTTGCTGCTCACCAGCATTTTGTTATCCAGTATTTTTACTAAGTCAGAAATCATATCTGGATGATTTAACCTCCAATTAGTCCATGTTTACTATAACAAAGAATTTGCAGTCAGACAATCTTAAAATGAAGCTTTTCTCCCTTAATCTTTTTTACAGGATGGATCATTATCCACACACAACTTTGGTTCTAACCAAGCAAGCACCTCTTTATTTTTCCTCTTACTGTCTTACTTCACAACAGATTAGAAAGTTAAAGCTATGCATGATGGCTGTTGCTTAGATATTCTTTCCAACTCCAACTTTTGATTCAGGCCCTCACATATGAAGTTCTTCTTTATGCAGAAACAATTCCTGCACCTGGTTAAGCCAGCTGTATGGCCTCCAATCCAAGGCAGGTTGATAGTGCCATAATTAAAATAATGTCTGGATTTTTTTGTTTTCTTCACAGGGTGGATCCTCACAAAACTCTGGTAGCCAGGTAAGTGGCTTGTTCTTTCCCATTTTAAGGTCTTATTTTACTTCTAGTCATGGTAGCCAGTTACAGGGCTAGGACTTTGTCCATTGTATTTAATCCCTTGTGTAGAATAAAATTAATGCAATAGTTATATAATAATTATTATGTAGCAAATAACTGATTGCTGGCACCTTTCCAGGATTCACAGAACAACTCAGGCAGCAGTAGCAGTTCTTGTGGTGAAGTGAGTACACTTTTTCCTGAGTTTTTGTGCCAGTTTGTCTCTTAGTAAATACATACTAACATATGTGTCATTCTAAAGGCTTATCTAACTTTTCGTTTTCATTCAGCTGTGGAAACTAGCTAACTTTTCTCTTTTCCATAAGTATTATCACTTTTTTTTTCCTTGCACCCTAGTAAGGTGCTGCACTGTTGTCACTGATAACACTACAGGGGAAGTTTAAGTTTCAAGTAAAAACTGTTTTAAAACCTTCATGAAAATATTTCCATTTTTACTGGAATTTATACAATATTTTACTTGAGGCAACACTTCTTTTGTGAACTTTTCCATTTATTTAACCTTGATCAAATAAAACCCCAATTAAAAAGAATGCAGTGGCACTGTATGTGCAAAGTGAGTAGACAATGCTAACCGAGTTTAATGCCTATTTTATCTTTACTGATATACTAAGATGAAAGCAGTAGAGAAACAGACCCTGAGTATACAGTCTCTTTGCTATTTACCTACATAAGTATAAGCAGGTTTATGTAACTTCTATTAAAATAAGGCCTTTAAATATGGAAACATTTGACTTGTTTCCGGAGTGGCTCTACATCTGAGTCTAATCAGGGGACAGCATGATCTCATGATCAGGGGACAGCAGGGCAGGCCCTATAAGGAGAGGCTACGGGACCTGAACCTGTTTAGCCTCCAAAAGAGAAGGCTGAGGGGGGATCTAGTGGCCTGTTATAAACTAGTCGGGGGGATCAGCAGGCATTGGGGGAGTCACTGTTCCCCCGAGCACTACCAGGAGTGACCAGGAATAACGGTCACAAGCTGGCGGAGGGTAGGTTTAGGATAGATATCAGGAGGCGCTACTTCACGGTTAGGGGGGCTAGGATCTGGAACCAACTTCCAAGAGAAGTGGTGCAGGCTCCTTCCCTGGGAGTTTTTAAGAGGAGGTTAGATGTACACCTTGCTGGGGTCGTTTGACCCCAGTACTCTTTCCTGCCACGGCAGGGGGTCGGACTAGATGATCTACTCAGGTCCCTTCCGACCCTAGAAACTATGAAACTAATGGTCAAGTCAGCATGCTTTATTTTTTCTACAGCATTTAAATTCTTCTACTGAGGAACACTTAAATATCAGAACTAAGTCCTGTAATGGCATATAGGTTTTTTCCAGTGCAATTGATAGTTATATGGAAGATTTAAATTTCAAATTATAGTGATTTCAATTGATATCCTTTAGTCAGCTGCTAATGCTGCTGCACAGATACTCGTTACTGTACAATATTTTTATGGTACTACACATTAAATACATAAACCCATGACCTCTGATTAAATACTTCTCTAGGAACTAATTAACCATATGCCTACAGTATATAGCCACTACCAAGTTTTATGTCAGCCAGTATTCACATTAATTTAAATCTCCACATATGCCATTTTTTGATGTGCTTTTAATTAGTCGTTCTTCTTTGGCCATATTTCTCCTAATGCTCATGGGATTCATAAATTACACCCTGGGTAAATCTAGCAAGAATCTGCCCCCATACAATGTTTTTGTGTGAATTAAAGGAACATCTCATTACTTCTAGTTTGTGCTTTAGAAATTTTTTCATATTTGTTTATAGTCTCTGATGTTTTACTCTCACAGGTCTAGAGCAACTTTCTACCCTCAACTTGGGCTTTTTTAGCTTCAGTTCTTAGCACTACTAATCCTCTTACTTCATTAGTTCCACTGCTACCTTTTAATCTCAGTTACTTATATGTTGACCTAAGAAGTAAGATTTAGAAGCAGGAAGAACAAAAAACTGAAAAATGCTTTTTTCATATATATCTTTTTGCTGTGCCTTGTTCAATGCATAGAATAGATG